AGATTGAGAGCTTCGTGGCCTAGCATTTTTCTACGCCCACATTGCCGACCTTTTGGTGGCCAGCTCAACCGCCGAGGAACACAGGGAAAATCGTGCAACAGCGCTTGAGCGCATTTAACAGTTTGGCGTTGTCTTGAATCCGTCCAAGTGTGTTTTCGATGTGTCTTATCTGAAGTTTCTTGGGCCCCTGTTCGACACTAACGACATCTATCTTTTACCTGTCAAGATTGCGGCCATTCATAACTCCCCGCCTCCTTCGTCCAAGCGTCTACTTCAGTGATTTCTGGGTATGGTGAACTTCTACCGCCGGTTCCTTCTGAACCGTGCTAACACTATTCGACCGCTCACAAATCCCCTCTTTGGTACGAAGCGTGCGTTCGACTAATCCACAAAACGTCCTTGCTGCTTTTAACAACATAAAGGCAGCCCTAGCCAATGCCTCTCTTCTAATCCACTCTGCCTCTGATGAAAGCGTCTCCCTCGTAGTTGACACCTCCAATGTTGCAGTCGGCGCGGTTCTTCAACAGCAGATTGCAGGTAATACCCCATCCCTAGATTTCCTCTCCAGGAAGTTAACACCTGCCGAATCCCGTTACAACATATTTGGATGGGAGCTTCTTGCTGTCTACCTTGCCGTGAAACACTTCCATCACTTCCTCGAAGGCAGAGATATCCTTGTGTTCTCCGATCGCACGTCCCTTTCCTATGTCTTGAAGTCACAGTCGGACAGATTGAACCCCCGGGAGCTTCCATAACTGGACTATATCTCTGAGTTCACGTCGGACACCTATCACATCGACAGGCCACGCAATGAGGTGGCTGACGCACTGTCCAGGCCATCCCTTGCTCATTTGCAAGTCACTCCCAGGATCGACCTGCCTAAGCTGGCTATTGAGCAACGCCGTGTTGGTTTATCCCGTGCCGAGGGTGTTTCCGGACTCCAACTCTAGGACCTCCCACTAACTGTTGGCAAATGCACTATTCCCCGGACGGCTCCCAAACATACCATCTTCCAGTTGTGCCACCATCCCTTCGCCACAGTTTATTCCCTCCCTGTAGTACCTATCTCATTCTAGGAGTCAAGTCACCGTGAAGCTGGTTTCCGTTCATATCCTCTGGCCTGGGATGCACCAGGACCTCAAAATTTGGACACGGGCTTGCCTCAGCTGTCAACGGAACAGGTAGCATCTATACAACAAGGTACTCATTGGTACCTTGCGCGGCCCTGGTGCAAAGTTCAGCCACGCCCACCCTGACACCGTAGGTCTTCTGCATCTGCTCACTGGTTGTTCTTATCGCCTCACATGTGTGGATCGATTCACACGGTGGCCAAAGGCTATTCCTATGCCGGATGTCGTTGCTTCAACGGTGTTCAAGGCTTTCGTAAGCTGCTGGCTTGCCATCATCCACGCTCTCTCCACCACCACCACCACGGATGGTGGCGGGAACCAATTTGAGTCCAAATTTTTCTAGTCCCTTCTCTCATTTTTCGGCTGTACTTGCATCTGCACTATCACGCATCACCTGACTACCAATGAGATTGTCGTGCGTTTTCACAATTAGCTGCAAACCTTCTCACGCTCTCCAGACGATCCGACGAGCTGGGCGGACCATCACTTCTGATCCTGTTGGGTATCCGCTTCTCTCTTTAGTCGGACCTTGACTATTTCACCGCTGAGCTGGTCTTTGGTGCCACTGTCCGACTTTCCAGTGAGATGATCTCGTCATCCAATGAAGGTGCAGTCGCGGATCCTATCAACCCCCTGCACGTCTCCGGCAGCTTTGGCGGACGCCATCTCCGAGTATTATCGCGAAAAAGACTTGATGAAATACTCTCATATCTTTCTATGATGTGATCGACTTCGCCAGCCCTTGGAAACAACCTACGACGGACCGTTCCTTATTGTCTCCCGAGAAGCGAAAACCTTCTGCGTCCCGCGTGGACGTCTCGAGGAGGTCGTGAACGTGGACTGTCTTAAAGTCGCTATCGCCCTGATTTCTTGCCCCTTGCTTCTCCACCTCCCAACCCTCTATCGCACCGTCCCGGATATTCAATCTTCTTCGCTGACCGCAATCTCAGTTTGCCATCGCATCCAAATCCAACACTTCAGCCACAGCACGTGCCGAGTCCCTTTCTACGCCTCATATATATATATATATATATATATATCAAGGAAATAATCGCGGAAATTATTA